CAAGCAGGGGGAGTGGGAGAGGGAGAAGCAGGCTTCCCGCTGAGCAGGGAGCCCGATGCGGGGCTTGATCCCAGGACCCTGGGATCACGACCTGAACCGAAGGCAGATGCTTAACGACTGAGCCACCCAGGCGCCCCTTCTTTAATTTTCTTAACTACTGGAATTCCCCAAAGTATAAAAATTGCCCTAAATTTAATCATAAATAACAAGAAATAAAGCCATGTTGAAATTACTTTGACAGAATGTACAATTTGCATTTTAAAAGTGTGTCTGGAAAAATTTATAGTCGTCGATATCTTAAATGTGCTATAAGATTTCTGGAAACTGCCTGCAGCATGTAATATGGAAGGCGTGTATCTTGGTGTGTTTGGTTTGTAATTTCATCTATAGAAAAATAGGAAAATCACTTCTCTGATTTGTACTAATGATAATGGTGATGGTTTGGATCACTGAAGGAAAAAGAAGTAACATGTTCATGATGTAGGTGAATGCTGTGATTCTCATTAATAGAGGTTGAAAAATGGGGGGAGGGAGGACACTATTAAGAGAGTGAAAAGAAAAACTCACATAATGGTAGAAAATATTTGCAAGTCATGTATTTGATAAAGAATTAATATTTAGAATATATAAAGAACTCCTGCAACTCAACAGCAAAAAACCAAATAACCCAATTCATAAATGGACAGAGGACTGGAATAATATACAAACAGTCAATAAGCACATGGAAAGAGGTACAATATCATTAGCCATTGGGGAAACACATATCAAAATAACAATGAGGTATCACTTCCCACCCACCAGGATGGCTATAATTTAAAAAATGGAGAATTACAAGTGTTTGTGAGGATGTGGAAACAATGGAACTCTTGTCTACTGGTGGTGGGGATGTAAAATGGTGCAGCCAACTGTGGGAAAAATTTCGGCAGTTCTTCAAAAAGTAGACTTACCACGTGACCCAGCAATTCTGATCCTAAGTATATGCCCAAAGGGACTGGAAATAGGGACTCAAACAGGTACAGCAGTGTTTATAGCAGCATTATTCGTAGCGGCAAGAAGCTGGAAACAACCCAAATGTTAGGAAATAATGGTGATGGCAACATAGAACATTGTGAACTGTACTTAATGCTACTGAACTGTGCACTTCAACATGCTTAAAAACATGAAAGCAAATTTCATGTTACATATATTTTACCACAATTTTTAAAAAAAGAGAGAAGTCAAGGGGTAGAGAGTGTGATAGGTCACGGGATGCAGGGAAGGAAGGAAGCCTGGGCGGGGTTGGTAGGAAGAAAAGGGAATGTTTGAGGATTAAAGGCTGCAATGAGGTTGAAGGGAAGGCATTTAGAGAGTAAAATTGAGAGAACTGGAATAATAGCAAGAGGTGTTGACTAATATATTGGAATGTTAGAATTTCAGGAGTAGGGCGCCTGGGTGGCTCAGTTGGTTAAGCGACTGCCTTCGGCTCAGGTCATGATCCTGGAGTCCTGGGATCGAGTCCCGCATCGGGCTCCC